ATGCAGCTTCCAGCACTGCTGTTCGGAAGCTACCACCTGTACCACCAGGCTGAGCTTCCCGTTGTGTTTATATTGGCACAAGAATTCAGGTTCCAGATGAATAAGGTGAGGGAGGGGCTGGTGATGTGAACAGTCTTTGCTTTTTCTTTGGGTCAAAAACAAGTTTCTGGATGCCCTTTGGCCCATAACTGTCTGCACTTGCCTCCCATTCCACTTTCTCCCACTCATGTCCCCGTCCCCTGGGGGGAGGCATTTTTTGTTTTAAAACTTGTTTCCATTGTTCTTCTTCTCAACCTTCTGATTGAGCTTGTTCTAATGTCTGTACTTACAGGTCTTCCTCTCCTTTCTAGGCAGTACCAGCCATCAGAAGAACTTTTGGCCAACCTTTCTGGATTTATTTGGATGCAGAAAGCTTTTTTGCTTGCTCCAAATTCTTCCCTGCCTTCTCCTACACAACTAGGCATAACCTTTGTTCCCTGTGCTCATTGGAGGCAGACACCAACTTACCAAGGTCTCCTTTTATGGAGTTCTAGAAGACTTAAAGATTTCCCTCCCCAAAGAAGTGAAAATTATTGAATTTCAGCAGTGAAATAATTGTTTAAGGGGTCGGACAGTGGCACAGTGGTAGAATGTAACACTCTGCAAGGCTATTTCACAAGGGAAGGTTCCTGGTTCGAGTGTGTAGACCTCCGTGAGTACACTAGACACATGCTTGCCCATGGTCTGGGGCTGGGTGGGGCTGGCTGAGGCTGGAGGTGGATTGGGCCATTAAGACCTTGCTAAGGGACCAGCAGATGGCATAGTGGTTACACCGCTGGACTCCCACATGGCAGACTGTGGTTTGAGTCTCGGACCCTTTGGCTTGGAACTCACCCCGGGCATGTGTGTATCCAAGATTCCTGGACAAGAAGGGTGCGACCTAGCTGTCCCCTCTGGGTGGTGACTTTTCACTTTCCCTCTTACTGTCTTTTTCTCTCTCTCCCCTCAGGTGAGTGTCTGTGCCGTAAGGCAAAAACCTCAAAACAAACAAGCAAACAAAAAACCCTTGCTATGATGCTATCTTTCTGTCCTTCTGTGTCTCTCTTACTCATGGAAGAAACAATTAAGTAAACTTTGCCAATCTATGAAAAACAAAAAACAAAACAATCTAATTATTTGAAGAGGAAGTCTCATGTTCTTTGGCTTTCCAATTCGAATTATTTGGCTTGGTTTATTCAGAGCCTTGCTCTTAGAGCTGTGAGTGTCTTCTATGGCAATGCAGAATTATAGGCTACTGCGATAATTATGCTGAGGACTCTAGCTTTTGGTTGGACATTTGAGTCTAGGAGAATGCCCTAATCCTAGCGCCCTGGACAGATATAACTTGCAAAATCAGGACAATATGGCAGCTGCTGTCCTGGGTCTACTTTTGATTCACATGAATGTTGTGGTCAGACTCTGAGTTTGTCCGTGTTATCTCCAAAGTATCTTGCTTTCTTTTTATTTTGACAATAGACTATGACTGTCCCTGTTGTAATCCCTGCTGACAATTGTTTGGACAGTGATTCTGTAGGAGTGACCCAAGAAGCAGAAGTGGAGGTGGGGAGCTCAACGAGAGAGGAGGAACAGCCAATTCATGGTCTCTTCTGCAGGTGACTTCTGAGAAGTCTGTACTGTGCCACCTTAGTGGGTGCTGAGGTGACACCATGAGCACAGGAGCTGCCACAAGGCCTTACGGGGGACATCTGGACTAACCAAGAGGGTGTGATGTGAACCCAAAGCACCTGCTACACCTCCTTTTCCTGTGGTCTTTTATATGACCCCTGTGGCTGAAAGAAATCCTTCCTTCCTGTCTTTACTCTGGGGTGTCCTTGTATTTATTCAGCACTGCAGCAAGTCCCATTTAGGTTCCTGAATTTTTCCATTCTTGTGATGGGCAGGATGATAATGGATGTGTAAATACTAGCATTTATATTTTGAGATGGTGTGACTGATGTTTTTAGTTTGTACTACTGACTTATGGAGCAAATTGATAAGCTATTTATGGACAGATTTGTATTTTATAGGGATACCTTAACATTTTGAGAGTCTAGTAGTAGATTTCAAGTTCCAGAATTTTTAGGAGTTAGCTTCTCCAGATGAAAGCTTTAGGATTAATCTTGAATGTGTGGTTTTTCCCCCCCAAATTGCAGTCTAGTGAGGCTCCAGCATATTGATATTCTTTAAATAATTTAAAGTCATTATTTTGTTCAGAAAATCAGCTTCTCAACTCAATAGATGAATAATACTTTCTTTTAAAATGCTCTCTGTGTTATCTTTTTTTTCTTTTCCTCTCTTTCTTTTTCTCTGGGAAATGTCAGCTCTTCAAAATAGTAGAGTATGTACGTCACAGAGAAGTTGCAGAAAAACGTTAAGATTCAGCCAAAATCATGGTGCGTTTATTCTATTTCATTTTTTTGCAGTCTGGAAACCGAAGTCATACGTGAAAGGAAGCCCATAATTTGTAATTTGCTCAGTGAGAAACTCATATTTTTTCGCCTAACTTGCAAGTGGGTAAATACTACTCACTGTTCAGTTCTTACATTTTGGTTATGCAAATAAATCTGTGCCTTAAAACTGTTGATTTAAAACAAAAAATCTGTTATGAACCAGAATTCCCATTGCTACATCTTAGACAAGAATTTTAGAGTGTCAGGGCCTTGATGATTAAGTCAAAGTTGTTAATTTTCAAATTGAGGAATCTGAGGTTTAGAGATACTCCCCTATTGATCCCCAGGTTGATGACAAACAGAGATCCAGAACTAAGGCTTCTGGGCCCTGCTCCCAGCTTAGTAACTCCAGAAAAACCACTGTTTAAGTGAGAACATTTATGCATAAGGCCACGTCCAATAATTGTGTGTGTGTTTGTTTAGACTGGCACACACACAGATAAAGAGAAGTCCAGCTTGACCAGGTTGTAAGTCTTAGATTAGATTTGATTTGATTTGGACTAGCTTTATAACTCTAGGTAGGTCACTAATTTTCCTAAGGCCTTCTCCATTCCTCTGTTTCTCCTGATATTCCCTCTCTTAGCTCTCCCACATTGTTGGACGGGAGCAATGATACATATTCCACATAGTAGCATTGGTGAAAAGCACTTGAGAAGTCTGTCAGAGTTGTCCAAAAGCCAAAATTCTTACCCACATGCCACAGAGTGTTTGACCCATAAAATCTTTAGTATTTTATATATGCTCAATATCATCTTAATGACATGACCATTTTGCCCATCATCTAATTTATGATCATAACAATTAAGGGAGGGAAGTGATATTTTTATCATTTTCAGTTTAAAGAAAGGAGATTTGGGTCAGCCCATGGCCCAGTGGTTAAGGTAGCTGGATCCCACATGGCTGACTGTGTGGTCCTGAACTCAGTAGCTTAAAAATGTGCTAGGTGTACATGTGCGCATGTCCAAAATCCTGAAAGGAAGGAGCGTGTGAAGAGAAAGGATTATGGCACAACCATTCCTCATGGCGTGGGAGAGTGCTGTCTCTCTTTCTCCTCTGTCTCTCTGGCAAGTGCATGTGCCCTCTTGCAAAATTAGAAGGCACAAAAGGAAAAGCATGAACAGCTGAGCTTGTATGGAAGCTATATTGCCCAGAAACAGTGTAACCCACCAAACTGCAACGTATACCTCCATGCCCCTTCAGAGTATAGGATGTTCAGGAGATGCTCATGAAAACCTAGTTAGTTTATACCACCAAGTTCAAGACTTGATAGAGACCAGTACTTTATGTCTTGGGAAGATACAAGTAAAAAGAAAAGTTGGGAACCAGCAGTTAGCGTAATGGTTATGTTGCTGGACTCCCACATAGTCGACCGTGGTTCGTGTCCCGGACCCGGTGGCTTAAAACTCACACCGGGTGCGTGTGCGTGCGTGCCCAAGATCCCGAGAGGAGAATGGAGGAGAAGGGATTGCGGCGTGACCATCCCCCCTGGGGGGTGATTTCTCGCTTTCTGTCTCTATGTCTCTCTCTGTCTGTCTGGCGAGAGCACGCACCCTACAGTGAAAATCTCTCAAAAAAAAAAAAAAGTTAACAGTGATATAGCTAGAAAAGGTATCTCTAGAAATTCTTTTCATTATAGAAGTAGAGTATACAGAAAATAGAGGGGAACAAAGTCCATTTTCTTCACCATTGTAACTTTATACTTTCTTCTGAAATATTTCCTTTTGGTTTAGATTTAGTTTTACATATTTCTAATCTGGATATGCACATTTTTTTAATTACCAGAGAGAGAGAAAACTCCCCAATGGTGTGGTCGCTCTACTCCACAATCCTCTTTTCCTCCATTTCTTCTTCCTGTCAGGATTTTGGGCATGCGTGTACATGCATTTGGCATGCTTTCCAAGCTGCTGGGGCTGGGACTTTAACTACAGTTCACCATGAGGAATCCGTCTTCTGATTCCACACCGTGCTTAACCACCTTGCTGTGGGGGCAGTCCTGTATACGTACAAATTTATATCCTGCTTTTTCACTTATCTTTCATTTTATCTTTTGGGTTCTTTTTTTACCTATCAACAAAATATTTTTAAAATGGTACCTAATAGTCAACTGAAATGATATTCACAGTTACTTAAACTTTCCTTTTCTGGCACATTAAAATTTGCCATTTTAATATAAATAATGCTGCCACGGACATTTCTTCTGCGAAAAGCTTTTTCTTTAGGGATAGACTCCCAGAAGTAGTTGAAGTGACTGAACAATTTAATCTAATTACTTTAAATACTATAATTGAGCAAACTAGAAACACTGGAAAATGGGTTACTAAGGAAATGATAGAGTATTTTCCTAGGAATAAAAAGAAGTGAAACTGCTCATGCTGAGAAGCCTGTGTCCTGAAGGTTCCGAGCTTGTCACTGTCCACAGAGACAAGACAGTAGAGTTGGTGTCTAATGCCCCACCAGGAGGTGAGGGTTCCAGAATCTTACAAGGGGGCTTCTATTATTATCTATCTTTTCAATTCAGTAAGATTATTCATTGGCCTTCTCCATGGAGCTGTGGGGGCCTCTTTTCTCCTTAGTTGGGGCTGGAAGCCAAGATCAGCTGTCGAGGATCGTAGTGGGAATGCCAGGAGCTGGGCAGCCTGTTTTTCTACTTCAGACACTGTGGGAAAAGAGAAAAGATTATTCATCCAAGGAGTGATTTTCTAGAGTTGGCACCGTAGGCTAATGGTTGAGGAAGCCAGATTCCATGTGGTCCACTACGGTTTGAATCCTGGTCTCAGTCGTTAACAAACACACCAGGTATATGTGCATTCATGCCCCAAATCCTGGCAGGTTGGAAAAATGGAGAAGACGTGGCATTACCTTGCCCCATTGTGGGGAGTGCTTTAACTCTCTCTCTCTGTGTCTCTCTGTTTTTCTGTCTCTTTGGCAAAAATATGTGCCCTTTGGCAATTCAAACAAAACAGAGACAAAAGAAAAGAAATGATTTTTAGGGCCGGCAGGTGGTATGGTGGTTAAAGGCGCTGGATTCCCACATGGCTGACCGTGGTTCAAGTCCTGGACCTGGCGGCTTGCTTTCTCACTTTCTCTCTCTCTCTCTCTTTCACTCTGTCCCTCTCTGGTCAAATTGAAATAAACAAATGAATAAACAATAAAGCTCCATGGAGCTGTGGGGGCCTCTTTTCTCCTTAGTTGGGGCTGGAAGCCAAGATCAGCTGTCGAGGATCGTAGTGGGAATGCCAGGAGCTGGGCAGCCTGTTTTTCTACTTCAGACACTGTGGGAAAAGAGAAAAGATTATTCATCCAAGGAGTGATTTTCTAGAGTTGGCACCGTAGGCTAATGGTTGAGGAAGCCAGATTCCATGTGGTCCACTACGGTTTGAATCCTGGTCTCAGTCGTTAACAAACACACCAGGTATATGTGCATTCATGCCCCAAATCCTGGCAGGTTGGAAAAATGGAGAAGACGTGGCATTACCTTGCCCCATTGTGGGGAGTGCTTTAACTCTCTCTCTCTGTGTCTCTCTGTTTTTCTGTCTCTTTGGCAAAAATATGTGCCCTTTGGCAATTCAAACAAAACAGAGACAAAAGAAAAGAAATGATTTTTAGGGCCGGCAGGTGGTATGGTGGTTAAAGGCGCTGGATTCCCACATGGCTGACCGTGGTTCAAGTCCTGGACCTGGCGGCTTGCTTTCTCACTTTCTCTCTCTCTCTCTCTTTCACTCTGTCCCTCTCTGGTCAAATTGAAATAAACAAATGAATAAACAATAAAGTTAAATAAAATAATTCTTTAAAAAAATGGTTTTCTATGCATACTGTGCCATTGGCATTGCCTGCTTTTCAGGATGGACAAAAACTTGGGGCTGTTCATCTCCGTTATAATTGGACAATGAGCCTCAAGTAGGCAACTCCTCCTCTAGTTCTGAGTACTGTATTTTGGAGATAGGTTTTTGCTGCCACTCACATAAGATGCATCTCTTTTGAGAACCTCATATCTGTCTTTGCTGCAGTAACAGACAACTCCCAAAATCCTAGTGAACTCCTCCGTGTGCTTAAATTTCTCAGTCATATACAAGCCAGGATTTGGTGCTGACCTGTTTCATATGCGTTCTTGAACCAGGTCTTGGGCAGAAGGAATAGCTCCTCTCTGAGGACCTTAGAGCAGAAGAGTCCAAGTACCTGTGCACAGTGAAAGCTTCTGCTCAGGTGCAATGGGTATTATATTCCCTAAGCAAGCCCATGGCCAAGCCTGATCATGGGCAGGATATGTGTTTCCCCTGCCTGGAAGTGCTGCAAATCATGAAGCAAAGGTAGGGATGTGTAGCTGAGAGCAAATTGACGTGAACAATGGAGCAATCTTGCACAGTGCTCTGGGGATTGGCCTCCTTGTTGCTTTCTGGCATCCTTCCCCATCCCATTGTCTACTCTAGCACAGAAGCCTCAGAACCTGGCTCAGCACATGAGCTGCTTTTGGCCCTAATGTGAGAAAAATCTTTGGAAGCAAAGAATTTGCTAACCTAGCACATGGTCGATGCATTCTTGGGCCTCTTCATCACTGCGGCAGATGATATTTTTTTGAAAATGACCACAACTCTGTCTTTCCTCCTACATACTTGTATAATATGTTACCCTTTCTAGAGCTAGTATCTCCCCTTTAATTTCAGCAACCCTGTGACTCACTTATAGGCAGCCAAATGCTCTGGGAAAATGTTGCATGGCTTCTGAGGCCTTGCAGCTCAAGCCTAGTTCTTACTGAACACTTGCTCCAGGGGAAGTTAGCCAGCTGCCCCCAGGATGTTGGTTAAGGACTCTGGTTTACAGACTCTTGGCCTTTTAGTCATCCCTGACGTGGAATGCATCCGCAGTTAGGAACTGCTGTGATGCCTGCCAGGGGAGAGTATGATAAAAGCTGTCTTGGATCAGGGCGGTAGCATTGCAGGGCTGAGTTCTTGTTATCTTTCTTCTGGGATTTGAAGTTTAAGTATCAGCCCAGCTTGGGGTGGGCACCTTGGATCAAGGTAGGATGTGGTGACTGTCAGTCCTCCCCTTGTGCGAGTGGAGGCTGAGAGGAGCATTGAAGCCTGTTATTAGTAAAAGGGGGAACCGATGCAGTTCAGGCCCCGCATATGCTCAAATAGGTATCCCCTGTGAAACTGTAAATTTAGTCATCTTTATTCATCATTTTTAAAGCTGTCAGTCAAGGGCTCTGTATGGTTTTCATGAAAAAAATTATACACTTTGACTTAGCACATGAGGTTCCACAGGGCTGGCCCCTGCCTACTTCTCTGCCTGGCTTCCTGGCCAGGAACCGTCATTCTAGTCTTACTAGGGTACCTGTGGTTTCACGGTGGGGAAGAGGGAGTTTTCTTCCACTGTCAAGGCTTTAAATCCAATCTGTGTGTGGCCTTAATCTCTGTCTCCACCTGCCTTGTTAGCACCTCCACCTGAATATCCCAAACTTGGCATGTCCAACACTGAGCTCCTCAACTTCTCCCTAAAACCTGCTTCTCCTATAGTCTTCCCGTCTCTGGAAACAGCAGCTCCATCCTTCACTTTTCTTAGGTCCAAAGCTTCAAGTCATTCTTGACTCTTGTTTCATATTGTAATTTGTCACCTGTGCCTTTGCAATATATCCCCCAAACAGACCGAAACTCAGATCAGAACATATCCAAAGATTCAGCCCTTCAATGCTGCTATCCTGATCCAAGACATTACTTGTCACGCTCTCACCTGGCCTAGATACTGCAACAGCTCCTGACTTCTCTCCCTGCTTTTGCTCTTACCAAGTAGCAATGATACTCTTAAAATATGCCACACTGTGGTCAGACAGTGGCAGAGCAATAGAACAACTGGACATATATGGGAAGGCCCTGGGTTCACATCCTGTGCGTGCTGGGTGGGCATGCATGCACATGCTTGTCATCAGGGCTGGCTGAGACTTGGGTGGATCATAGGGTGAAGACCCAGTAGGGGATGCCACCCTCTTTCTCTCCCTCTCAGAGAAGAAAGAAACAAATAGAACTTAAAAACCAAACAAAACATGCCACATTATGTCATGTCCTAGTCTGAGCCACTGTGGCTTCCTAACTTTGTGAATGTCCGAATCTTTACAATAGCTCTAAGACCTTACTTGATTCCTCCCTCCCTGAGGTCAGGGAGTCAGAGGTGACTTCACTTTTCCTCTCTACTATTCTCTCCTTCCTCATTCCCCTTTGGGTCACTGGCTGTCTTGATGTTCCTACATCATGTCAGGCAGACTTCCGCCTTAAAACCTAGCTCTCCCCTCTGCCGGAAGGTTCTTCTCCCACATTTCTGTGTTGTTTGCTTCCTAAAATGTGTGGCTGGCACAGTGTAGGTGTATAGTGAAGATGTGCTAAATTAATGAATTGTAGGATGCCTTTGGATTTGCTTTCTCTTTCCTTGGAACACAGTTTTCACTCCTCCTTATCAAACTAACATCTTTTGGTTTGTTCAAAGTCAGCTCAAGTCTCAGCTTTTGTAGGAAGATTCCTGTATGACTTAAATGCCCCTTTGTTTATTCTTTGAGGAAAACAATCCTGTCTTATTCATCATTGCATCTAGTGCATAGCAGGTTTCTTGGCATATGGTAGACCCTTAGTAAATATTTCCTGCAATCCCCACTTTGGCATAGTGTTTGTTTACATTTAGTAGGCAGAATATGAACACACATAAAACTACAAAAATCATGATGAGTTATATAGGGAGAAGTGAGCCTCTGTTCTCCAAGTGTTTTCAGAAGATGCTGTTATCACTCTTTTTGGTTATTTGCCTAGAAATAGGCTATGCACAGACAAGCAGTTAGACATTTAAGAAAAAAATTTAAATCGATAATTACCCTGATGAACAAGTAAGGTAAGACAGTACCTGACTAACAATGGCTTGACTTAGGAATTTTCCACCTTATGATAACTTTGTCAGGATGTTAAATACAATTTTTGTTTATGATATTTTTGACTTACAATGGGTTTATCAGGACATAACCCCACCGTAAGTACAAGAGCAACTGGTTCACTTTGAATAACCCATTTGTTTAAGGAGTAAAATTTCTGGATGTTCTTATTCTCTGAGAAATGGAGGTTTATGCTGAAGTACTTTTAAACTCTCTCTAAAACTGGTTGGTTATCTTCTTCCTCCTCCTCCTCCTGTTCTTCTTTTGAGAGATATATTTTTTTAATAGGGCATGTGTATGTGCTAGAGAGACACAGAGATGGAAAGAGAGAAATTGCCCCCAGGGGGATGACCATGCCACAATCCCTTCTCTTCCATTCTCCTCTTGGGATTTTGGGCATGCACGCACATGTGCCTGGGAGGACTTTCAAGCTGCCAGGTCCAGTACTTGAACCACGGTTGACCATGTGGGGGTCCAGTGTCTTAACTACTATGCCTCCTGCTGGCCCTGGTTGGTCTACTTCTTAGCTAGCAAGGTCAAATATACTGAATGTCAACCTATTTGCCTTGGCTCTCACAGGCCCTTGTAGAACCCAGTCCTTTTCCTCCTCTCTACTTCCCTTGCCCTGTTCCAGGACCACTTCTTCTCAGGATCATTGCAGTTACCTTCTCCCTGGTCTCTCTTGCTTCTGTCCATGTCTCTCTGCACTGTTCTCAAAAGAGCAACCAGAGTGATCCTTTTTGAATGTGAGA